ATATATGTATGTATATATCACAGAATGTTTTACATTCAAATATTATTATGGAACGGGAGTAGATCCAGTAAAGTTTGCTCCAATCACGCATCCCAGATTAAGTAACATACTTAATCAGTGATGCAGTGCTTGGAGTAAGTCTTTTACTGCCTTACTCCTCGTTCTTTTCATAGTTCAACCCCTACGGGTTGGACGATAAAAGGACGATAGGCGGGTGACTGTCCATCATCCATTTTTCTTTCTTACAGAAGCGTTGGCTCTCTCAAATATACGAACTCCATTTGCTCGCAATGGAGAACGGATCGCAGCTCCATCAACCCTAAGCACACCAAGCAGTTCCCATCGACCTTAGGGAAAGAGCCGAGTCTATACATCAGGAGCTCGAACAGCGAGGTTACGTGGTGCCTGGGAAGAGAGTCGACTCTCTTTTTGGGCTTCGTTTAGAAACAAACGCTTCATCAATAACTAACTCCAATATCCATCGGTCGCTCAAACCGAGTGGAGTACAGGAAAAGCGTTGGACACCTGCACTGCTATCTGGTGCCAGGATAATGTGCGCTATACTAACGGCTTGACGGACGCTCCAGTTCAGACGCCAACGTGGTATAGAAGCCAGAAGAAGCCAGTGGTTAAGGAACTCGACAATATTCTCAACTGGGCTAATTATCTAGCCCACGGACTCAGACAGATTCATCTTGGGGGTTTATCTATCGAACATCGCGAAGAGGCCTATAACGGTCTCATTTTAGCTGTCATCAAGGATCTCGGTCAGGTCGTCGAATTGAAACAGCTACGCATTCAGGAAGGATCAGACTTCGCCGCTCTGGTGGAGCAGCAAGTCCGTCCACAACACCGTAATTCTTCCTCTATCGTTAAATATATCAAAAGCACTAAGAAGCACCAGCATGAAATTTTTCCGCTCTATCGACGAGTCAGAAATGCAATACGCACATGGAGGGAGTACGGCGCGAACAAGGAAGTCCTAGAGGCAATCAAATATGGCGTACGGCCGGTTTGGGGGCCGAAGGGACCTCCACCACCATCGCAGACGGGAAGGTGGATAAATATTCCGGCAGTGACAGAATTAACACGGCTGGAAACACAGGGAATCATACGGAAATGTCAGGAGTCCGAAGCATATGTGATTCATCAAGCACTTATGATTCTCAAATCAGACGGACTCCGGGCACGTCTGATAATGAATCCGGAGAGTATCAACTCTCACGTCGAAAAAAAGAAAAATTCGCGCAGAGGGTCTAGAACGACTGGCACAAGTTGCCAGGCCGGGGGATGTAGCTATGTCCGCCGATATAAAGAACGGATTCTATTCGTTGGCTGTGGAAAACCCGCGCCTTTGGCAGTTCAGAGATCACACCGGCCAGCTCTGGTGCTTCCTGGCTCTCACAAGGGGCGCGTCGTTTTTTCCGGCCTGGCTCAACCTCCTCATGAACGTAGTGAGGAAGGTCCTACGGACCAAGGGGATTCGTATAATCCTGTATATGGACAATCTACTGTTACTGGGCCGCACACGGAGAATCATCCTGCGACACTGTCGTCTGAAAGTACACCTCTTCGGCATTCTAGGACTGGAGTTTGCAGACGGGAAGGGATACTGGGTAAAACCGGTACGCAAGCTTCAGCTCCTAGGCGTAGTCATCGACTTACGTCACAACAAAATCAAGATGACAGATATTACCGGGTCACCAATTAAGGTCCAATATAAGCGTAGTAAAACCAGACGGAGCTTGTATTGGACAACATAAACTACAACATAAAATGTAAAGGGGTTTTTCCGAAATAAGGTTTTTTCCTCTGTTCATGAATAAGTCGTGACATAAATAATTCTTAGTATAAATGCCTTGAGCAGGCACCACAATAAAGCACTTATTCTAAGCTCTTATAATTGACAGTCTAACAACTTATCAGGTCCGCTACTCTACTCAATTTTTTCAACATGACGAACACCAAGTGGAAGCCGGAAAACAAACTCAAAGGCCGTAGAAATTTCAAGATGTGGCTTATGGAACTCACTGTCATTTTACGAGCCAAAGATATATGTGATGTAATACACCACGCAATGAAGCCCGCCACCAACATCAATTATGAACGAGCCTGGAAAGACTTGGGAGAGGGTCAGAGAGGGTCAACACTACATAATCAATTCTGTATCGCCAGACATAATGGCTACTCTGAGTGCAACTATGACTCCGAAAGAAATGTTCACAATGCTATACAGAAAATATGGTCACGTCGGAGAAGGAGGCAAGATACGGATGAGACATGAACTTGGGAAAATACAACAAGACAACGAGAACATGGATAAGTTTATTCGAAGACTGAACACGAAATTTGTTGACGCCTTCAATATGAATATCGTACTTAACGAAACCGAGTAGATCACATTTTTAACCGGTGCTCTACATGCAAATTACATATCTATAGTAACTCACCTGCTTACCGACAGTGCTATGGTACTAAGCTACGGAGCTGCCTTAGCATATGTACAACAGACTGCATTGGAAATTGAAGCCCGGATTCTAAACACCAATGCAACATTGACTTCGGACGCCGCCTTTACCGCCACTATTAACAGAAAAAGTCACAAGTGCAAAAATTATGGACACATCGCACAAAATTGTCGATTGCCACAATTCAGACATAACTTCAATTCGAGAGGCCGAGGGAGATTTACAGGCCGAAGAGGCTACCACGGCTAGGAAGATTTTTTGGACGAGGCAATTTCCAAAATTCAGGACAAGGCCGCGGTTCTAATAGTAACAGCTCGAGGACTCAGCCATACTGGTCACCCGACCAAAACCAACGCGGAAAATTCAACAGACGATTTAGAAATCGAGAACAAGGAGGATACAACAGTAATGGATTAAGAAACCGACAACAACACGCTAATTCTGCACTTGCTAATCCCAATCTTGCAGACAGTTTGCTCATAAGACTGCAAGCTAATTTTGACCAGAAAGGTGTCGCAGCACAACAACAACTATATGTCAATTGGATACAGTCGGAATACGCGCATATACAAAAACCAAGCAGCACACATACAAGGTCCCAACAACCAGCAAATGCTTTTATGGTGAACGCTCATGCCAACCAGGTATACACGGAATTCAACCCAAGACTGCCCTAATTGAGAAGTTCAGGAGGATATTGACTCGCCGTCGATTCATGTGCGACCAAGCATATATTACCATATTCAGAAAAGACAGTCGCGCTAAATTTACCGACAACCGCCAACAATACATATACAGCGAAAGTTGCTTATGGGAACTGTATTGCACCAACTTGCTCTGCCGAATTCTTCGATCTCGGAACAGCCCTTCTGGATGAGACATTCACGATTCCATTACTCAGCGTACGATTGATGACAGAACATGGGCATCTCTTTATATTTTTAGAAAAACACCTCGTCATCATTACACCGAAGAATCGCGTTATACATATTGAAGAAGACTCATCTGGTATGCATATTGTCAATTTATTTGAACTTTTGGATTTTTTTAGATTCTGCCTATGTCACTTGGCATCAACGTCTCGCACACACTGGCGACATACCCCCTAACCTACCCCGTATAAGACAATATAAGCAGTACCACGAATGTGCCAGGGCCAATCAAAGGAGCCGTTCTACTTCCAGCGAAAGATAAGGCGAAGTTTCTTCTGAACCATTGGATTTAGTCCTAAATGATATTATAGGACCGTATAGCCCCCCTACTTTAGACAACAACCGATATGCCCTGACATTAATAGACGATCACTTGCGATATCTTATGGTTGCACCATTATCGACTATTACGACTGAAACATCTGCTGCAATTATTCGACCAGCTACACGTATTATCCGGAAGAAGAGTTTCGACGATACAATTCGACCAAGGCAGTTAATTTACATCAGTCGAGATGAGACGAAAGTTATGCCACTTGGGATAAATGATCAGATACGTACCGACGGCCACACTAACCCTAAACCCTAAAACAATTCAAGCTGTCAATATTACTAACGCCTTATCGTCAAACCCAGATCGACCACCACCCATAATACTACTATCACAACAGCCAGCAAACACCGACCGATACCGCGTATTTGGATGTAAAGTACTCTACAAGGAGAGGCAAGATACATCATCACTTGTTAACCGTGGCCGACCAGGGATACTAATCGCACAACCACTCAACACTACTACGGACACATAGAATTTACAATCCATCCACAAAGACAATAGTTATAAGTAGAGATGACACATTATCTGAGGATCAATTCTTCATTTGGAATAATGACACATGCACGCAACAAATATTTACACGTAGACCACCTCCATACATACCTTTACCAGCACCCACACACGCTTAACAAAATACAAATGTTGCCGCTATGAAAATAACTCACAAACTAACACCTGAAAAATCTGTACCCAAAGTATATTCAGATATTGCAAACTTTCGAATCAAGATTCACGGCTATCCAGTATCAATCAAGAGTTGACCGCACTTGTCATCACCAAGCCAACACTCACCCTGGTTGACAGCAAACCACCTGACAAGACAATTTTCAGGCCGAAATGGGTCTTTGTTGAGAAACGGAACGACAAAGGCATTGTAGACAGACTGAAGAGCCTATTGACCGTCGCTGCCTGGTCCGCCGTTCAAGGAATTGATTATACTCAAATCTATGCCCCAGTGGTCAACAAAGATATATTTCGATTAGGTATGGCGCTACTAGCCCACACGAACATGACCGTCCGCCAATACGACACACCGAATGCTTACCTGAATAGCGACCTCGAGGAGCCAGTATATATGCGTGTACCCAGAGGAGTCTTTCTCCTACTCAACAGGCATTACTGACACGATCACTAAAAGGAGACAAGACCGTCGTGTGTAAAGTATCAAAGGCTCTATATGGTTTACCTCAATCCGGCGAGCTCTGGTATCAACAAATCAAGGAGCTCTGTATCAAGCATGGTTACATTCCACTATATAAGGACAAATCTTTATTCGTCAAACGAACTTCAACCGGACAGCAATGTATACTATTTGTACAGGTGGACGACAAAATTGTGATGTGTCAATCGAAAGCAGATGCGGATACAATAACTCAGGCAATGAAGACAAAATGGAACATTACAGATATGGGTGAGCCTAGCTGGTTTATCAAACTCAAAATCAATCTGGACACACCGGGCAAAGTCAGCATACATCAGGGCCAATACACAATAGATCTACTTGAAGAATTTGACTTACTAGAATGCAAAACATCTCGGGTCCCTTGCATTGGAACCAATTACATTGCTACGGACAAAGATATACCTACTGACATCAAAGCTTATCAACACGTTGTAGGATGCTTACGATACTTGGCGGATGGCACGAGACCGGACATATCACTTGCAGTGAACCTACTGGGACGTCATTTAGTCGCACCGATGGAACGCCACTTACGAGCCGCCAAGCGAGTTTACGATATTTGTCAGGAACACGAGATTTGGGCATCACATACAGTAAGGATATACCCTTCACACCTATTTTTTCCAGCTGACAGTGTCTACTGTTCAAACCCAGAAAACACAAAATCTACTACAGGAAAGATATGGGGGACGAACTTACAGAAGACAACAGCACTTTCGACAGCCGAAGCAGAATATGTCGCATGCTCAGATACAACACGAGACGCAGTATGGACACGGCACTCACTTGAAGAAATTGGTCTACCGCAAGCACAGCTTACGATTATCGAACATGACAACAAGTCATCGATCAAGATAAGTGAGAATTCAAAGTCCTCAATGCGCACACGCCACATACACAAGCATTATCACCTCACACAAGAAAGGATAGTCACAGGCGAAGTCCGACTTCTATACACACCAACAACCAAAATTTTAAGCGATATGCTTACAAAACACTTAGACCAGAAAAAGTTTATATTGTAAACTTCGATGGATAATTCTTTGTTTTAAACTATGTTATATAAACTATGATACAATTTAAGTCAGTTAGGATTTAGCAGTGGTAGCTTGTGTAAGAATGATCGGGACTGCCTCTTGGTAAGGGCCTTAATATCTTCGATCACACAGGACGTACCTTTAGCTGTTCTTTATTGAATAATTTTCATTAGAAGTACTAAGTGTTCATGATCGCATGTCTAATTTGTAGATCGATCTGAAGAAAAGTTAAAAAAAGAAAGACTTATTGGATTTTGGAGATTGGCAGGAAGACCAAAACCTGTAAGTAGTAGTTCAGAGATTATAAAATTTAGTTTATAATATCCTACATCTCTATCGCCTAAAATAGGTCCAAGTAAATGAGTCGTACCAAATACTCTGGCTATTGGAGCCATCAAAGTGAATTTTGAACACTTTGCAATATTGGAAAAAAAAAGTGTGTTCTTATGTAAACGCTTATTCCATTTCTTATTAAAAATACGAAGGAAGTCGCAAGATTCATGAAACGCATCGGAGGTTAGCCAAGCTACTGTCCCATCCATAAAACGGGTCCTGTAGTAAGTGTAACCGTCTTCGGATGTTTTGTCAATTATATCTTTGACTTGTGAATCCATAACTGACAAATCAGAATCAAATGAGCGAGCGAATGAAAGTTCGGAGGTAGGGATAAGGTGAGTGTCTAGATTAGTTGCGCGAGTACCATCTATGTTATTCACTTTGTATGTATCACTCTTCTTATCATGGTAAAAATTAT